CCCCCTGCTGTACCCAGTAACATTCGGTGTGTGTAAGTATGAGTGTTGCGGTCCCCGGTAACTTGTGCAGTCCATCTTTACCCCCTGGTGTACCCAGTAACATTCGGTGTGTGTGTGTGAGAGTGCTGCAGTCCCCGGTAGCTTGTGAAGTCTGTCTTTACCCCCTGCTGTACCCAGTAACATTCGGTGTGTGTGTGTGTGGGTGCTGCAGTCCCCAGTAGCTTGTGCAGTACGTCTTTTCCCCCTGCTGTACCCAGTAACATTCGGTGTGTGTAAGTGTAAGTGTTGCAGTCCCTGATAACTTGTGCAGTCAGTCTTTACCCCTGGCTGTAACCGGTGACATTCGGAGTATGTGCGTGGGTGTGTGTGTGTGGGCTGCAGTCAGGTCCCTTCTCCATTTTTGCTGTGACCAGTGACTTCCGAAAGTGATATGGGGCAGCCAGGCACCCGAAGTAGAAAACGGAGGTACGGGGCTAGGAGCTACGACGCGTCCAACGGGCCTTCTTTCACGTCCACCCCCCGTAGCCGGACCACCCCAACCCTTCATCCTCCTCCGTCACTCACACCCGTCCACCATAGCCGGACCACCCCAACCCTCCATCCTCCTCCATCACTCACACCCGTCCATCATAGCCGGACCACCCCAACCCTTCTCCCTCCTCCATCACTCGCATCCTCCTCCATCACCCACGCCCGTCCACCATAGCCGACCACCTCCAACCCCCCTTCCTCCTCCATCATCCACACCCGTCCACCATAGCCAACCACCTCCAACCCTTCTTCCTCCTCCATCACCCACAACCGTCCACCATAGCCAACCACCGCCAACCCTTCTTCCTCCTCCATCACCCGCACCCGTCCACCATAGCCGACCACCTCCAACCCTTCATCCTCCTCCATCACCCATGCCCGTCCACCATAGCCGACCACCCCCAATCCTTCTTCCACCTCGATCACCTACACCCGTCCACCATAGCCGACCACCTCAACCCTTCCTCGCTCATCACCTCCCTCATCCACTCGAGGGGCACGAGAAGCCTCGGGTAGGGCCGGTTAGGAAGAGGCGAGGATCAAGGTCGGTTAGGACGTGAGACTTCTCTCTCTCTCTCTCTCTCTCTCTCTCTCTCTCCTTCAAACTCTTTAACCCTCCCCTCTTCCCTCTCCCCTTCCCCTCCATGGCATGTGACTAACCTCTACCCTCACCTGTTACATTGCCAGGAAACGAACGGAAAGGAACTTGGTCCTCACTTGGTGGAAAGCGAGGGCAAGGGAAGGGTTGTCGGTCCCTTGTGCCACCAAGAAGGAAAGGATACGGGACTATTGAGTGCATTTGCGAAAGCGAAAAGGAGTGCTGATTTTGGACGAGGTCAGTTTGACTCGACCACCCTCCCGGAATGCATGACTGAGGCGATCGCATGGCTTGCCTGTGTGAACGGGGAGGGAACTCATAAGGGAAAATGGAAGGCAAAAACAACTTAGGATTGCGGGAAGGGGGGCGATGTGTTGACCCCGACGGGGATTGTGCTTGGTCATTTGTCTTGTGTGGTCTTGCACAGGTGAGTAGCTAGGGGCGGTTTGGACGGGGCTGGGCCCGTGGATGAGGGCTAGGGTGGGAGATGGCTAAGGAAAGGACTTGATTCGGCTTAAGCCATGGAGGCGGGATGAGTTGAGACCGGGCGCTTGGGTGGATGACTGATGCGTGGACTTGGTTTGTGTGGAGGTTGCATGGACTGTCTCTCTCATGTGCAATGCGACCCCTGAAAGGACTAAGGGGGGCGTTGGATCGGTGATGCAATGCTAGTGGCTCTCGCAAAAACTATAGCGGCTAGGGGTCCGGGCGACGCCGCCCCACCCCAAGGATGCTGTCGGGGCTCGAGCCACTAGACCTAGTGAAAAGGTGCGTGGCCCAATGGATGACGCTTAGCCTGCGCACGGTAAGAAGATAAACTCTCAATGAATTCCCTGGACTGCCTGCGTATTGGAAGGAGCAATTGCCTGGTCAGACTTAACTGAATCGAGAAAACGCCACGAATGCCAAAGAGCTACCATCTTGACGCGAGAGCGGAGCTACATCCCCCAATGTAAAGTCCTCTCGCAACTGGCCCACCCCCATCCATCTCAAAGCACTAGGTGGGGGTGCCCCTGGGACGAACGACCTGCGCCCTGAGCGTGAGCGTGGGCGGGTCGAGCCAAGTGGGACCCGCAGTGGGGTCGACCAAGGCTCGAAAATCCTTCAGGGTACGGCCCCTACAACGTGACTGATGAGGTGAGGATCGTACGGTCCGTCCTGCTGAATGTAGTTGAGATGCAGGACCATCAGACAACCATCCGCCCTGTTGGTTGGGCAAGCGCAGGCAACGTCGCCAATGTCCGGGCCTGGTGCCTGGCCCGTTGCACATCCTCCTCCTTTTGTCCCACCGGTGATTGGGGTATCCCCATATGTAGCCCCATCACCGGTTGCGATCGTTTCCCTGGGCATGCCGCTATCGGGAGGGATCACAACAGGATCTAGTTTGCAGGTTCCGGTACAAACAATGTTCACCCAATCTCCGTTGCAGGTTGCGGTTACCACGCAGACTGCTGTCTCGCAGCCTGCACAGCCGCAGGGTACACAACCCTTGCAACCAGTGCAGTCGCCGGTATCACAGGGTCCACAACCCTTGCAGCCAGTGCAGCAGCCGATATCACAGGGTCCACAACCTAGTGGGATGCAGGGAGCGGGACAAACACAGTGGGTACCAAAGACGGCCATCGCTGCTCCTAAACCCTTCACAGGGGATAAGAGAGGCGGAGACCTGGACACATGGTTGAGGGCAGTGCCAGTCTATGTTAGGTGTAAACCTACCTTGTCGCACAAAGAAGTGCTTGTGGCTGCCCCCTACCTAGAGGGTAGTGCAACAAGATGGTTGAGTGGTTTAGTGCGGCTCCAGGGGTATGGTCATGACTTCCGTGCTTGGGCAGTCACCTAGAAATTGGATGACTTTCTTAAGATGGTGGAGGAAAGGTGGCATGATCCTCAGGAGGCCCAAAGGGCCACTGGCGCGATCCTGACACTGCACACGCGGCAGTTCAAGTCAGTAAGGAAAGCCACCGACGTTGTTGATCGTCTGATCTGTGTCCCAGGGGTGCGCTATGGCCCCCAGGTTCTACTCACCTCCTACCTGAGATGCTTCTCTTTGCCTCTCAAGAACCAGTTGGCAGGTGAGGCCAACATCAATATGCACAACTTCCCTTCGTTTAGGAAGAAGGCCCTAGACCTTGAGGCGAAGATAGGGCATGGACAGGCACCCACTGCAGACGGAAGGAGGAAGACACTGCCTCCTAACTGGAAGGCGAAGGGGCGCATTATGTTTGTCGATAATGATGGTTCTACCATCGAGTTCGACGACAACTTCCAAGAAGGAGTAGGTGCAGAGGCAGGTAGCGTAGAAGCTTCAGGGGGTGGAGTAGTCGCTACTGTAACTCAGAAAGGTAAGGCGACCGGTAGACGTCGTGGAGGTTCCCGGTCTAGGAGTCAAGTTGACCCCAATGCTCCTCCATGGGAGAAAGCGGGTCTCACTGAGGACGTGTGGAGAGACCGGTACACCCGACAAGCTTGTATTCGTTCTGGCCAATATGGCCATAACCAATTCAAGTGCCGGAACAAGAAAGTGATCGACAAGATCCCACCTATGATGGGGCAGGCGGTAGGATCCTCCCCCCAGTTGGTAGCAATGTTGCCAGCACTTCAGGCACTGCTCCGGGAAACACGTCGGGCCAGTAGGAATAGTAGTTGTTCCTACTAGGGTCGAGGTGGTGGAGACACCCTCACCATCTCGAGAGATGGCCCAAGCTACTGACTCCAGCGTCGTCCCGCAAACACATTCAGACCCATCGAGCCTCTGTTCGATGAATGTGTTCGAGTCCTTAGAGGAGCTAGAGGAGGAGTGGTCTAGATCAGACTCGCTAGCTTCTTGGACGGCCCTAGTCAAAGCCCCAAAGGGTGAAATGTTCGTCAGCGAGGTTGTCATTGGCGGCCGCAAGGCTGGGGCCTATTTTGACACTTGCTCGACAAGGAACTTTATCAGTCGCACGTACGTTGAGAGGCTGCGCTTACAGGGGCAAGTGCAGCGCCTGAGTCGACCTGTGGAGTTGACCTGTGCCAACAAACAGTGCATGGTAGTCAATGACTACCTCCAAGATGTGGAGTGTTGTTTCCCGTACGCGGGAGGGGAATTGAGACATCATGTCTCGTTCCTAGTGAGCACTGAACTCCCCATGGACATGTTGTTAGGTATGTACTACCTCTCTGTGGCACAACCCCAGTTTGACTGGGACTGAAAAGTGGTCAAACACACTTTGCCAGGTGGAGGGACCGCCAGATTGCACGAGCTCAAAGCTAGTAGTCTGATCGAGTCCCATGGATGCATGTGTGCGGTCGCGTTCTATAACTATTATAAGCAAAATCAGGAGGATGGTATGTACTAAGTTTATGTCTCTGCTGCAGGCGAGCCGATGAAAATGCTGCCGGAGATAGAGGGAGTAGGCCGAGTGTCTTTCCTTATGGGTCTCCAGTATTATTTGTACCTAAGAAAAAGGAGGGAACTCTGAGGATGTGCATTGACTATAGGGGCCTCAATGCCATCACTGTTAAGAATAGAGAGCCCCTACCGCGCATCAACGATTTGCTTGATAGAGTGCAAGGGTGTCAGTACTTCAGTAAGATAGATCTGAAGTTCGGGTACCATCAGATTGCAATCCGGCCCGAGGATCAACACAAAACCGCATTTCAGACCAGGTACGGTCTGTACGAGTTTGTGGTGATGCCTTTCGGCCTTTGCAATGCTCCTGGCACCTTTCAACACGCTATGAATCGGATGTTCCATGACTACTTGGATAAGTTTGTCATGGTGTACCTCGATGACATACTTATTTTTAGTAAGACTGTTGAGGAGCACGTTGCACACTTGAACAAAGTCCTTAGTCTCATGCGACAGCACAAGTTCAAGATCAATGGTGAGAAGTGCGAGTTTGGCCGCACCCGTGTCTAGTACTTGGGTCATGAGATTTCCGCGGAAGGGTTGAAGCCCGATGATGCGAAGGTGGCCAGCATTCGTGACTGGCGGAGTCCTCAGTCTGTGACTGAGATGAGATCATTCTTAGGGATGATCGACTACTATCGCAACTTCGTGGAGAACTATAGCATAGTTGCCGCCCCTTTGACTGATCTGACCCGCCTTGACACCCCATGGGAGTGGACTGAGAGATGTGAGGCTGCTTTCAAACATCTGAAGCATGCGTTGACGCATTACGAAGTCTTAAAACTTCCTGATCCTGACAAGCCATTTATAGTGACTACGGATGCTAGCCAATATGGCATAGGCGCCGTACTTGCACAACAGGAGGGGAAAAAGTTGAGGCCAGTAGAGTACATGTCCGAAAGGATTCCCTCTCAGAAGTTGGCTAAGTCCACCTATGAGAAGGAACTCTACGTGGTTTACAAGGCTCTGACCCATTGGAGGCACTACCTCCTTGGGAGGTTCTTCATCCTCAGGACTGATCATCAGACCCTGAGATGGATGAGAACTCAGCCGGTACTCTCTGATGCTCTCAAGCGTTGGATCGAAGTCATTGAGCAATATGACTTCGAGCCCCAGTACATCAAGGGCGAGTACAACAAGGTTGCTGATGCCTTGTCGCGTAGATCAGATTTCTCTGGTGCGCTGATCACTAAGTTTGGGCTTGTGGACAATGTTACTCAGTCCATGGTGGAAGCCTATCATGAGGATCCGTTCATGTCTGAGATCATCCGCAGACTCGAAGCGAAGTACAAAGTGACTTCTGCTGAGTTTGCTCAACGGCTTGCTGTTCCTCGATAAGGTTGGGAATAAACGTTTGTGTATTCCGAATAGCGAGTCTTTGCGTAGTTTGTTTTTAGGAGAGTGCCATGATGCCACCGGCCATTTTGGGTACAAGAAGACCGCAGCCAATCTACTGCAGTGGTTCTGGTGGCCCACGATGATGCGAGATGCCCAGCTATACTTGGAAACTTGTCAGGTTTGTCAAAGGGACAAGCCACGTACTTAGACTCCTCTTGGGCTCCTGAAGCCCCTTCCGATTTCCGAAAGGCCTGGTGAGAATCTGTCCATGGATTTCATGGATACGCTGGTCACCAGCAAGAGTGGGATGAGACACATCTTCGTTATCGTGGATAGATTTAGTAAGTATGCTAGATTAGTAGCAATGCCAGAAACAACAAGAATGGAGTACGTCATCAGAATGTTTAAAGAGAACTGGCTTAGGGATTTTGGTTTACCGAAATCCATTATCAGTGACAGGGATGTCCGATTTACCAGCGAATTGTGGAAGGCCGCTGCTGCAGAGCAGGGAACCCAGTTGCAGATGGCTTCTGGGAATCACCCAGAGGCCAACGGTCAGGCCGAGCAACTGAATCGCGCTGTACAACACCTGTTGAGGCATTACATCAAGCCCAACCAGGTGGACTGGGATGAGAAGCTTGCTCTCATCGCCAGTTTGTACAACAATGCGGTGCACAACGCCACCGGGGTCAGCCCAAACAGTTTGCTATTGACTTTCAAGCCTAGACTACCCTTAGATTTTCTTCTTCCTGAGAATCAGTCAACTGCCGTACCAGGTACTTTAGAATTTGCTTACCGGTATGAAGACAAGATGCAGCAGGCTGTAGAACAGATGCAAAAGGCACAGGTGGCTATGATAGAATCTGCAAACAAACACCGTCGTGAGTCTTCGTTTCAGGTTGGGGACAGAGTCTGGGTTAAGTCCTCACAACTGGGACAGGAGCATGGGATTTCCCGCAAGCTTATGCCACAGTACTTTGGACCATGGGAAGTCTTAGATATTGTTGGGACTGATCCGGATGGACCTTCTTACGTAGTCCGGATACCTGGTCATCTTCGTACTTACCCTGTCTTTCACGCCTCCAAGCTTGCACCGTTCAAAGAAACAGATCAGTTTCCATCTCGCCGCTCAATGCTGCCCCGAACCATGGACGGAGAGGTGGATACCGATGATATGGTGGACCACAGGGAGATGCCAGTGGCAAGACCAAGAGGCAGGGGATGTCCTCCGAAACCGAAGCTGCAGTACCGCGTTCGGTTCCGACATCACACTGATCCGAAGGAGGACCGCTGGTTCA